GGTACAAGGAGGACCAGGTAACAAAGGAGCTTACCACGGATCCGAAGACCAAGGCGCTTGATCTTGTTCTGGTAAGGAATACACCCCCGCGTAATTAGCTCCATATGGTTGCATTCTAATTAATGAAGTGGTTCACATTCCTTCCGCAGGAGACTGAAAGCAGTAGCGCGCGGTCGTCTAAGAGCTCCCTTGCTTGGGACAACACTCTAAATAGGGCGTTGAACGTAATGAAAAACAAGGATAAGCTCAGTAAGCCGTCGTCAGCTGGTCGTGTGGCCGGCAAAGGCTTGTCCACAAAATGGTCATCATACTATACCGCTGGTGGGCGAAAGGAGAGAAAGACCAGCTCGGAAAGCCAGTCGCGCAAGGTTCAAGAACTCAAGGCACAAGTGGCGCGGATTCCGAAGATTATCCAAGAGCAAGTGCAACAACAACTGGGAACGACGCTCACCGCCATGGTGCCTACCTTGATTCAGGGGCTGACGACGTGGATTGCAGGCGCCCAACAGGGGCCGTCCCCGATTCCCAGCTTCACGGCCAGCAACTCGCACAACGCGCAGGCGGCGCCATTGGTGTCTCCGGCGGAGGCGGTATTCGTGTCTCCGGCGCCGGCACAGGCATTGGAGCTTAATGCACCCGGCGGGTGTACGCCGGCCGACACCTCGCCAGCAAGCGGCCCCTCCATCAGTTGCACGCCCGCCGTTGGCGGTGCCTCGACATTAGCCGAGCTCGACGGTATCACGGTAACTAAGCCTCTCGGCTGATGACTTCATCTCCTTGCCTTTGACTGGGCATCCCTGACGCCCTACATGTTTTTGCAGGGCGCCGCCGACGTTCCATGCACTCTCCTGCACTTCGTGGGCGGCGAGTTGATCGATGTCGCCAAGGGCAGAATCGTTCAACCGGGCAACCCCGTGTTCACGGTAATCCGATGCCACCCACAGTGTATAGGGTTGAACTGGTTCGGGTGCTGCCAGGCTGCGACGAGTTGTTACCTCCGATTCGACCCGTTGGGGCCGACGAAGATGATGAGATGACCCTCTGGCCCCTGCTTTGGCCGAAGAGCCAGATTTGTTTGGGGGCGGGGGACAACACCCTACAGACAAGACCGCCAGTCGTGCCGGCGCCAAGCCATGGCAAGAATGCCGCAACGCTACCAGACATGCCGGACATCCCTATGGCACAGGATCCGGACATGCATATGGCACAGGATCCGGACAACGACGACAACGACGACGGTACATTTACCAACGTCGATAAGTACTTTGCCGAACATGGGTACGGTGACGAATTCTGCGGGCCTCCTTCTCAAGAACCCAACCCTGAAAAACACGACCGCGATCTAGCTGGTACCGCGGAGAAACCTAATTGCAACAGGCGTCGTCTGGCGTTCAGTTCTCAGGAGACGCCTCCAGCTGCCGCCTTCCCCGAGCCTCAGATAGCCGACGTGCGAAATATTATCAGCCCCAACACGCTCAAGAAGGCGGTCTATGAGCAGAACTCGATCCCATTACAGCAGATCAAGAAGAAGGGACGGAAACTAAAGACTAACAAGGGTGCCGGTGCAAGCCAGCCGGCACCGAGTATGATCCGTGCTCAGGACGGGCCACCTTCACCTAAGGATATCTCGAGGAGGGTGCATGTGGCGGGTAGGGCGATGCTACTGACAAATATGCTCAATGCTGCAACCGGTGCTATGCGGAGTCTGCATGACAGTGTTCTTTCTTTGGAGAAGCGGCGTCGCTCCCAGAATGATGTGGCATACCCGGTTTTTGTGGCCAAGGTGCCAGAGGGCAAGGGCTTTGTGGATAGCGCCATCGGGGGTACGATCGTCCTGCAGTTTGATGACATCTTTGCTATGTTTAACCTTCATCCGTTGCACTACACCTTCGTTCGGCTGTTTTCGCTGAGTATGGAGATGTGAATCATTCGAGACAAGACCCCGGACATTGTGATAGTCGACCCCTTCTACATGCGTGCCAAGATCTTGGGCAGCGCTGGGGACCAGCAAGTCGCGAGTTCACACCTTGAAGGCGTCATTCTGGCAAACCCAGATAAGGATAACTTCCTCGTGCCTTACTTTCCCGAGTAAGTCATCCCCTCACCGCCCCGTAACATATGATTTCTGATTTGGATCGTTTTTTTTCTAACATTCCGTGTTTTGTGCAGTGACACATATTGCACACTCAACCTCTTAAGCCCGAAATATTCCTTGGCCACGTATTTTGACCCGGACCGTGAGTCAAAGATAGACTACAAAAATATAAAGAAAGTTCTTGATGATGCTCTCCCCGGCTACGCCAGATCTGGAGGCGCCTTCAAGAGGCCAGTTCGTAGGTATGGCAAGCACGTGTTCACCCACAATACGACGTTCCCCTGCGTCAAGCAGCCGCCTGGCGATCAGAAGGATGCCTAGTATGCCCTCCATCACATGTGGGCGATCGTACGGGACCATAATCACCTTCTGCTACCAGATAATCTCAAAGATTGGGCCACTAGCTTGTCGGCAATCCAGGACGCGGACATTAGACAAGAATTCTTTCGCATCTAGTCGGAGTTTGCGGAAATCATCCATCAAGATGTCCTTCGTACCTCGGGGCAGTTCTACCTCAGATCTCAACCGTCCAATAGTGAGATTGAAACAATGCTACAAATGCAGGCTGACAACGCCCGCGATTTCATGACCATCACGAAAGACGGCGGCTTCATCCACGCTCCGGTCCCCTGAGTCGATTGAGTCGAAAGTAGTGATGCTATCTGAAATGTCGATTGGCTCATGTTGTAATATTAAACTTTAATGAACTTGTATGTCTCTTTGGTTTGGACAGTCGTTCAACTTATATGTAATCGATGCTATTTATTAGTAGGACCATGAATCGTGTTGTTATAGTTGTAATATTAAACTTTAATGAACTTGTATATCTCTGTGAATTGCTACTAACGTTTTGTTTGGCTAGTGCATAGAGATGCCGTCGTATGTCGTGTACAAGGGTAAGGTTCCCGGAGTCTACGACGACTGGGAGGAGTGTCGGAGACAGGTTCACCGTTTCAGCGGTAACGGTTACAAATGGTACACCACTAGGGCGGATGCCAAAGTTAGATACGCGCGGTATCTAGCGGGAGAGAGGAGGGAGCGTTGGAGGAACTGGATGAAGACCAGTTTCATCGCGATTATGCTCATCGTGATGACCGTAGCTCTCTTCTATGTGATGGTAGTTTAGATGATCGATGTCGACTTGTAATGTGAAGACAAACTCGTTACTCGCGGTTTCGAGACTTGTAATGTTATAACTTTGTTCGGTATTTGAAATTCGGAGACTAATATGATGAATTGTATTGGGAGACTAATCTTCTATTGTATTCGATAAATCTGCTGTTTATATGTTGTGCTCTCTATATTATGTATAGTAACATGTTTTGTAACCTGTGCAAATATCAGAAAAGAAAAAAAATCCCTAATATTCATACTAATGGCGCACCACTCAGCACATTAATGGCGAACTGCAAAAAGGACACTAATGGCGCACCACACCCTAGTGCGCCATTAGTATGCCAAAGCACATGGGTACATATGGCCCTCTGGGAGGCATACTAATGACGCACGATGGGCTATACTAATGGCGCACTGCGTGGTGCGCCATTAGTATACCAGATACTAATGGCGCACCAGGGGTGCGCCATTAGTATTTAATTCTAATGGTGTGGTGCTAGTGGCGCACCAGTGATGCGCCATTAGTAGGCAAAACTGGTGCGCCACTAGCAGGCCTTTTCCTAGTAGTGCCCTGGTGGTGGTGGTGGTTGTGCGGTGCTCTTGGACAAATCCCGTGCCTTGGTGCTGCCCGTTCACCATGGTCGTGTGGGCGGCGTGGTTGCCGGGGTGTGTCGTTTGGTGGCGGTGATTGTTGGTTAAGGTGAAAACCTGCTCTATTTTCGAACGGACCGGCAGTGGCGAAGATCATTCCCTTCTTGAAGGCGTCGTCGTAGCTCTCATTGTCTGTCATGCGGCTCCGGGGGAAACTCTGATCCTTGGATCGGGCGGTGGCGGCGCTCCGGCGTCGTATCCTTCCTGAAGGCGTCGCCTTGGAGCGCATGGTTCGTCATATGTAGCTTTATTTTTTCGGGGCGGTAGTGCTAGGAGTGGTGTTGCTGCACTCAGCGCCTATGTATCCTGTCTTGGGTGTGTGCGTATGTTGCGGTGGCGTGGCTTGTGGTTGTACTGGATGCTTGTGGTTTGGTGCTTTATATATAAAACGGGGCGAAAGCCTTTTTCGGTATTATGCAGCAATTGTGCCGCGAGAGATTATGCAGCCTGATCATTCCAAAGCTATGCTACAGCGGGTACGTACACGTACCTACTCTTTTTTTTTGAGCATCAGTACAGACACAAGCGCTCATATACACGCGCATACACTCATCCCTTTGAACGCACACACGCACACCCTACCCCTATGAGCACCTCCGAGAGACTGAGCCGGCATATCATCTTGAGATTTACGAAGCCACCGTAGGCGCCTCGTCGTCGACGGGAACGTCTCCTCCCACTGAAAGTGCATCGCCGAAAATCCTAAAATAAATCCAGGAATAATGCGAGCACCAGGATTTAAACCCTAGTGGGTTGGGGATACCACTGTCCACCTAACCAACTCAACCACAGGTTGATTCGCGTACACGTACCTACTCCCTCCGTTCCAAAAGCTATGCTACAGCGGGTACGTACACGTACCTACTCCCTCCGTTCCAAAATTCTTGTCTTAGAATTATCTAAATACGGATGTATAGAACGGAGGGAGTACGTGTTAGCTGTCACGCGGTTTTGTTAAACAGTCTTACAGACGTGGAAACGCCCATCTCGTTGACGGCGTGCAGTAGTCGTTGCTGTGCTCCATGCCGGAGCATGCGTTCACACATACATAAGTGGTTACACACTGGTTGCTACGCCTATATATACATATACAAGCATGCATCCACATGCAGTCGTTCCCAGTTAATTAACACCAAAAATGTTGAAGCCCGTGGCATCGTCTTCCTCGTCGGCCCGGTTCTGGGCCGTCATCGCCGCTGCACTGATCTTGTGTGCGGCCAACGTTGAGCTTGTCCATGGAGGTAATTAACCATGAGCTGATCTCCATATCTTCACTAAACTCTTTTGTGATCAATCGAGGTGCCAACTGATATTCCTATGTATGTGTGTGTGCAGGTGGAAGGCCTGTGCCTAGACCTCCAGCTCCGGTAGGGCATGTGGCTCCCAAGGAGCACTGCCCTGACTGCAGCGACAACCCGCCACCGTCGCCGCCGCCGCTTCCTCCTACTCCTCCGGCAGCTGCAGCAGGCGTACCTCCTGCTAGCGGCCATGTGTGATGTAGGCTTTGCGCGCTCCTCCGGACGCTGCAGAAATTTCAATGTTTACTACAGTCCGTTTGACGACTTGCCTCAACGGTAGTACTACTAGTTATGGTTTTCTTTGAGGCGACACTGGTACTAGTTGTATTGCATGGATATGTTTGTTTATTCAGTTTTGCTATTTCTCAATCGACAGATTTCATCGAGTGTAAATTAGTTCAGAGAGAACACAAATTAGTCGTGGTCTATAGAGCTATGCATACACTGGTCACACAATTATTAAACCGTGCAAATTGCCAAATTGTGCGCCAGCCACCAATCTACCATGGTTGCTGTTAACTGGGCCCATATATTGGTCAATTATTAAGTCAGCATGTGAGCGTGAGTCTACTCTTTTTAACACAATACATATGTAAACGCTCATACATACGCATATATACACTCATCTTTATAAACACACGCACGCACTGTCTATCCCTATAGGCAACTCTGTATCCTGGGTTGTTGTGAAAACCATCTTGTAACTATCCTCCTTCCATTAAACTGCCTTTATTGGGCTGCCTGAACCAGAATCCCATCCCTCCCGCGGCGCTCCCGCGAGCGCCTGGGGGAACCCTAGCCTCCCTCCTCCACACTCCTCACGCGGCCTCCCCCCTCGCCGCCGCCCAGCAGGGCCACCGGCGAAGCCTGGCCGGCTAGGGCGACGGCGGGGCCTCCTTCTTGCCTCCCCACGGGGTCCACGGCCGGCGCGGGGCGGCCGCTCGTCGGGGGTCGCTGACCTACGGCGGGGGCACCGGCGCGGCGGCGCAGCTCCAGGGTGGCGGTGTGGTTGCCTGGTGGCGGTG